AAGCCCAAAGCCATCCTTCCTCTGTTGTCCTTTTAAGTTCTTGTCAGGTATTTGATCACAGCAAGGAGAAAAATAACTTCTTCCAGGTACTTTTAACATTCATGTTAATGATTAGCCCTCTAATATGTAATTTTTGTGTCTTATCAGCTATAGGTTTATCAGTTTTACTAATATACATACATGCATACATACATGCATACATACATATATATGTATTATGTATGTATGTAGGTATGTATGCATGTATGTATGCATTTACCAGTCTGGCCTTGAAGTCGTGGTGATGCCCCTTTCTGTTTCAAGAGTGTTGACTTTACAAGTATGCTCCACTGGGCCTGAGATTTTTTTTTTCTCTTTAATGTTTTGTAGAATCCCTTTGTGATTGTTAGTGTTGTCTGTTGATTTCATTTTCAAATGTCACTTCCTGTGTGTTTCTCCCATTTCCTAATGTGAAAGGTTAAGTGACTGACACTTCCTCTCTTCGTTTCTACCATTCCCATTCATGCTTGAATTTTCTTCCCAACGCTGCTAATGTCGGGATTCTCAGGGTCTGAGCTGAGTGTTTCCAAGGTCTTGCCTCTTATTCCAGAATGAAATAGAAGCCCACACAGGGTCGCCCTATCTCCCCAGCTGATCTGGAGTCACTGTGTAGACTTGGCTGCCACAATTTCACAGAGACCCACCTGTGTCTCCCCTCCCTATGCACCCTCGGTTTCCAAGTGCTTTGAGTAATGGTTTGCACCACTTGCTTGGCTGTAGGACTTTTTCTAAAGGACTGAATGTTAGTTATCTCTCCCCTACTCCCTCCTTTGTGCTGACCACATCCCCTTTAACTCTTCCTACTCCATTACTTTCCTTCTCAAGGCCATTTCTTAGTTTCCTGGTCTCTACTCTCCATTGTAATATGCATATATAAGGATTCAAAGCTGGCATCCATTTATAAGCAAGAGCATAGGACTTTTGTCTTTCTTGATTTCTGTTACTCAGGACGATTGTTTCCAATCGCATCCATTTCACTGTGAATTTCAGAATTTATTTTTGCTTAAGAGCTCAAGAATACTCCATCTGTAAATTTAGTTTCATACTTTGTCTTTTTCACAGTACATAGACATCTAAATGGTTTCCATTTCCTGGCTACTGTTAAGACAGCAGCAATGAACATGGGTGAACAGGTATCTCTGCCGTAGGATACAGGGTCCTTTGGGTGATGTGTTTTTAGCTTTTTGAGGAATCTCCACAATGATAACCACAATGATGACTGGCTGCACCAGTTTGCATGCCCACCAACTATGAATAAGTGTTACTCTTTCCCCACGTCCTTGCCACAGTTTGTCATCACTTGTGGTGTGGATCTTAGCCGTTCTCAAAGACTGGGCTAAGATGAAATGTCACAGTTTTAATTTGCATTTCCCTGGTGGTTAATGATGTTCACAATTTCTAAATATTTCTCAGCCAGTTGTGTTTCATCCTTGAGAACCGTCTGTTCAATTCCTTGCCCAAATTTTTAGTTGGATTTCTTTTTTCTGTTTTGATGTTTAGATTTTTTAGAACTTCATGTATTCTTCATATGAACCCTGTGTCAGACATGTGGCTGGTAAAGATGTTTTCATATTCTGGAGGTTGCCTCTTCACTCGAATGATGGTGAATTTTGCCATACTGAAGCTTTTTGGTGATGAGATCAATGCATCAGTTGTGGACTTAATGCTTATGCTGTAGGAGTCTTGTTCAGACAGTCCTTTCCTGTGCTTCTTGGTTCCAGTATATTCCCTACTCTCTGTTCTCTAATATTTAGAAATTATATTGAATTATATTATGTTGAGGTATCATGTTCAAGTATCAGTCATTATGTTGAAGCCCTTCATTGACTTGCAGTTAGGTTTCCCATAGTGAGAGATAGGCATGCAGTTTCCTTCATGTAGCAATCCAGTCTGACTACCACCAGTTCTTCAACATGCTGTCTTTAGTCCAGTGTGTGTTTTGGGTTCCTTTCTGAAAAATGAAGTTGTTGTAGGTATGTGACTCAAACTTGGGTCCTCTCTTCTTTTCCGTTGATGAGTGTGTCTGTTTTAATGCTAGTCCCATCTGTTTTTATTACTATAGCTCTATGGTAATATTTGAGATTAAATATGGTGATGTCTCCAGCAGATCTCTTATTATTGAAGATTGTTTCAACTATCCTGGGTTTTTTTGTGCTTCCCAATAAAAATTGAAATTCTTTTTTCAATTTCTGTAATGGATTTTGTCATAATTTTAATGGGGATTGCTGTATCAGTAGATTGCTTTGAGGATGGGCTGAACAATTGTTTGCTCAATTACACCTTGTTCCTTTGTGTTAGATGTCATCAGAGCACAGATGGCTATCAATCGGGGCTCAGAGAACATGTTAGGGCGGAAAAATCTAAGAGCCTGAGGTAGAGATGGAGTTTTTCATAGGTATTTCTTCTAAATTGATATTTTCTCAGGAAGGGAATAGAGAGATTTGTAAAACTTAAGCAGTAGCTGGGTGTGGTGGGCAAGTCTTTAATCCCAATCTTAATCCTTTTGCTCCAGAAGCAGAGGCAGGTAGATCTCTGTAATTTCTCACCAGCCTGGTCTACATAGTATTTGAGGCCAGCTGGGGCTACAGGGAGACCCTTTCTCAAAAAGATCAAAAATAAATAAATAAATAAAAAAGTGAGCATAAGCTCACTTATGGGGCTGGAGAGATGGCTCAGCAGTTGACAGCATTTGCTGCTCATCCAGAAAACCAGAGTTCAGTTTCCAGCAGTGATGTATGTTACAACTGCTTGTAACTCTAGTTCCAGAGAATCTGACCTCCTCTTCTGTCCTCTGAGGGAGCTAAATACTCATGACATTCACTGAGAGCTATTCATGTGCACATAAAGAAAAATAATGTACTTTTTAAACTACAGTTACGAGGCTCTAATCTCCTGAAACAAGGTTCACAGTGCCCCTCAGCAACAGTATATATACATAAAGATTAACATTTAACCAATAACAAATACTGAAAATGCTGACTCTCTCGCCTTGATGTTCCCCAGTAGTTGTTCAGGAACCTTTCTAGATGGAGGTTTTATGAGTCATTATGCAGGGTAAGGGGCATTTCAATGTTTCGACTGTGTTTCTGTCAGCCATGGCCCTAACCCGTTCTCTGTATAGAAGTTCGGTAAATATATTAAACTATACTTTGGTAGAATCGTTTCTTTTGAGTGTCATACTCTGCAGTATGAGTAGACATTGTTCCATCTGCCCATGAAAAGGTCTGAGGTTCAAGTTTGTGCAAATTTTGAGTCCTTCCCCCAGGTGAAGGTATGGAGGATGCAGGGTCCATTGTAAGTCCCAATTATGTGTAGTGCCAGTGAAAAAGGCAGATGTGACAGATCTCCGTGTTATGTGAAAGGAAGTTTTTTCAGCAGTCTAAGACATGGCATCCCATTAGAACAATGGATTTCTGCCTCATGGAAGTGAAACCCAGTTTCATTTTGGAGCTACGTATTGGGTGTCTGGATGGTAACCTGGACTGACCAGAGGTGATGTTCACACAGGCACTAGCTTTGTCTTGATCTTGTGGAAAAGTCTTCTGGGGGAAGTGAAGTCCTGGCCAGCAGTGATTTTTTTCTGAAATCAGTATCCATATCTGACATGCTGCTGCAGTTCATGTCATTTTGTTAAGACTGAAATTGAAGATTTTGACTTAAGAGTGCTTATTGGCCCTGGCGATATGGGTTAGTACTTAAGAGCACTCACTGCTTCTGTAGATGACCCAGGTTCAATCCCTAGTACCCGCATGACAGCTAACAACCATATATAGCATCAGTTTCAGGGGATCCAACGCCCTCTTCTGACCCTGACTGTAGTGCAAGAAATGGATGCACCTACACACATGCAGACAATACACTCATACACATAAAATAAGAAAAGTTGATTGTCTGAATTTTTGTTTCAAAATATTATTGTATGTATGATGTGCATGTATATGAGTGTGTGCATGTCATAATTGTCAGGGGACCAACGTTTTATTTTCTGTTCTCTGTTTTGACCTTTGTGTAGGTTCCAGGGATCAAATTCAGGTCATCATTCTTTCCTGGCAAGCGCTTTACCTATTGAGCCAGTTCCCTGGCCCCTGTGAACTCATTTTTATAGAGTGGCAATAAATTTTGGCGCTTTGTCTTTACCTAATTTTTTGGAAGTCCTTGAAGTATGTTAGACAAAACATCACTTGTTGGTCTTTGACTTTGACAGCTGCTAAACACTTACTGATCCTGGTCAGTTTCTTATTCAGTACAAAATTGTCTGCTCTGCCGGTTCGTGAATTTGTCTCTAATAGTATCAAATGAAATCTTGAATTTTGGTGACCTGCTTCCTGCCTTTCCCCATTCCAGTCAATTTTCCCTTTTACTTTTCTTCCTGAGGTGGGTTTTTTGCTTCATGGTATAGACTGAGTTGGCCTCCATTGGTCCTGTTTTACCTTCTGTCTCATTCTCTAATGTAGCTGTGACTATACACATGTCAGCGTGATTAATAATATTGAGCTCATTCTGAAGCACATGTCAATTTTATACTTTTTCACATTTGACATTACCTAAAATATTTTAAAAAAGTATTGTTTTCTGTTCTTTAAGTATTAATTGTGTATGATATTTATTGTTTAATTAAAATTGTGCTTGAGGGACTAGAGAGATGGCTAAGTGATTCAGAGCCCTGGCTGCTCTTGCAGAGGATCCAGGTTCTATTCCCGGCACCCACATGGCAGTAAACAATTGTCTGTATCTCCAGTTCCAAGGAATCCAGTGTCCCCTTCTGACATCTGAGGGCATTGCACATCAGAGGCCCACATACATACGTGCAGGAAATACACTCATACACATAAAATAAAAATTATAAGTAAAATAATTTTTTAAATTGTGCTTGAGTAAACTATATATAGTATTTACATCATTTCCCCTGTAAGCACATAGAATGGGCTCATTTCACAATTTAACAAGGTTTGACAGCATGAGTGAATTTGTGCCCACCAGGAAAGCTCATTACACTCAATGCCTGTTATTATTTTGTGTCACAGGGCTGATCCTCCAGTTATCTCTTTGAGTTTGTATAGATTAATAGACTTTCTTAATGAGAACTATTCATAACATACCATAGAGTTTGTATGAATCATTTCTGCTAGGTGAGTTATCATTTACATTCATGCAATCTGTACCCAATGGTAAATTTTCTCATGCCGGCACAACTTAAACATTGTTAGCAGGAATTTTGAAGGACAAGCAGGTTCCTGCATGCTAATTGGACTTATGTGTCATTGAACAAAATGTGTAGATAGTACAGAATTGTAAGATCATATTATCAATGGAGTCTATGTAATGTTTAGGATTCTGTGACATTTGAGGATATTGCCATGAACTTCACCCAGGAAGAGTGGGGTTTGCTAGATCCTTCTCAGAAGAAACTGTACAGAGATGTGATGCTGGAAACCTGGAGGAACTTCACTTTTATAGGTAAAAATGTCATCATCCCTTCCCTTATTATATAAAGGAAGAAGCGTTTCTTGTCATTATATGCCTCTGCAATTTGGAGTATTGAAAGGGATTAATATGGTATATATAAAAACCAGGCATATTTCATCTATGCTGAATCTACAAACTATTTTCAGTAATTTCTAATTCATCAATATTTTCTTCCACTACATCTTAGGAAACAATTGTGAAGATGAGAATGCTCTCCATTGTAAAAGTTCCAGAAAAAATCTAAGGTACTTTGAAAACAGTAGAAGGAAAGTCTCTTTGAAGGAATTTTTGAAAGATTTATGTTGAATTTATTATTTGTGTGTGTGTGTGTGTGTGTGTGTCTGTGTGTTTGTGTTTATCTGCATGCCTGTCTATCTCTCTGTCTCTCTTTGCAAACCTGTATGCATGTGCAAAAGGAGGTCAGAAGAAGTTGTTGGACGCATGGAGTAGTAATTACCAGAGGTGGTGAGTTACCTGTTTTGGATGCTGGCAACCAAGCTAAGCTCTGCTGAAAAGCAGCAACAGTGTTTGAAGAGCTGAACCATCTCTCTGTGCTCCAATTAAAAGAAATTTCATAATAGCATTTGTGAATAAATAAACAATGAGCACAACTTTGATTTTTGGGTTTTTTTTTATAATTAGGAAATGAACCATGTACTTCAATTTAAGAATCCTATTCAGTGTTTGCAGGGCATTTCACACGCAAATGGTACTAAAAACTCAGATTAACAAATGCCAGTCTTTTTAGCATAGCCCTGTGGGAACCATAGTGTAGAATTATCCATCTGTTTAGTTTCCAATGACCCATATGTGGCTGAAGGCATATACTTTACCTAATTAGGAACAGTATGTGACCCACACATTGTCATAAATAGTAGTAAATCACCTTTTACTAATATACTTGTCATTTTTTCAGAAGTTTCATGGTGGAGACATTCTGTGAGCACAAAGAAGATCTTCTGGATGGAGAACCTTTCACATGGGTAGCAAATGCCAATATGAGCATGACAAGTTCTACCAACCTAAGCCCATGTGAAAGCAATGTGTGTGGGAAGGTTTCCATGTGTCATTCACTCTTCCATAACCATCCTACCTCTCACTCTCAGTACAAACCATGTGAGCATGAGGAGTATGGAAACAAGCCCCAGAACTCTAACTCTCTCACAAGCTGTCAAAGACATATGAGAACTCAAACTGCGAATGGCCCTTTACAATATAATACATTTTTAAATCATTTTGATTTCCAACGTTTGTTGGTAATAGATCAGGAAACACACAGTAAAAACCCACTCCATAGATACAAAGAATATAGAAAGGCCTCTGCTGTTACAGTTTTACTTCACACATCTGAAGGAACTATAGGACAGCATTATCAATGTAATATATGTGGGAAACAGCTGAGTTCTTCCACTTCTCTTCAAGGACATGAAGGAATTCATCGTGTAGAAAAAACACATGAATATAAACAATGTGATGAAGTTTTTAGATATAATAGTCATCTTCAAAAGCATGAAAATATACATACAGGAGAGAAACATTTTGAATGTAAACAATGTGGTAAGGCCTTTAGATGTAACAGTAATCTTCATTTACATGAAAAAATTCACACTGGAGAAAAACCATATGAATGTAAAAAATGTGGTAAAGCCTTTCAATGGAAAAAATGTCTTAAATTACATAAAAAAAATCATACTGGAGAAAAACCATATGAATGTAAAGAATGCAGTAAAGCTTTTGCACATGAAAGTCATCTTCATAGGCATGAAAGAACACATACTGGAGAAAAACCATATGGATGTAAAGAATGCTGTAAAGCCTTTACACGTAAAATTTGCCTTCATTGGCATGAAAGAACGCATACTGGAGAAAAACCATATGAATGTAAACAATGTGGTAAAGCCTTTAGATATAAAAGTTATATTCATTTACATGAAAAAATTCATACTGGAGAAAAACCATATGAATGTAAACAATGTGGTAAAGCCTTTAGATATAAAAGTTATATTCATTTACATGAAAAAATTCATACTGGAGAAAAACCATATGAATGTAAACAATGCAGTAAATCTTTTACACATAAAAGTCATCTTCATAGGCATGAAAAAACGCATACTGGAGAAAAACCATATGAATGTAAACAATGCTCTAAAGCCTTTACACGTAAAAGTTACCTTCATTGTCATGAAAAAACACATATTGGAGAAAAAGCAATATGAATGTAAACAATGTTATAAAGCCTTTGAACATAAATGTTACCTTCATTGGCATGAAAAAATGCATACTGGAGAAAAAAAACATGAATGTAAACAATGTGGTAAAGCCTTTAGACATAACAGTAGTCTTCATTTAGATGAAAAAACATACTGGTGAAAGACCTTATGAATGTAAACATTGTGGTAAGAATTTTACATGGCATAAATATCTTAAGTTACATGAAAAAATTCATACTGGAGATAAATCACATGAATGTAACCAATGTGGTAAGGCCTTTAGAGTCCATTATTATCTTAAGTTACATGAAAAAATTCATACTGGAGAAAAACCATACGACTGTAAACAATATGGTAAAGCCTTTAGATGGCACAAATATCTTAAGTTACATGAAAAATCGCAAACTGGAGAAATATCATATGAATGTAAATAATGTAGTGAAGACTTCAAATGCCGCCATGATGTTCAGAGACCTGACAACTTCCTACTACACAAAACCCTGTGAATAATGGTGTGGAAGGGCTTTAGAACTCAACCATCTTTACATGAAAGAATCCATGTTTTAGTAAACCTATGAATGCAAACAGTGGGATAAAGCCTTTAGCTGATACAGTTATCTTCCTTTATGTCAAAATTCATATTGGACCAAAATGAAATGAATGAAAGCAATGCAAATCCTACTTCCTACTACACAAAACCCTGTGAATAATGGTGTGGAAGGGCTTTAGAACTCAACCATCTTTACATGAAAGAATCCATGTTTTAGTAAACCTATGAATGCAAACAGTGGGATAAAGCCTTTAGCTGATACAGTTATCTTCCTTTATGTCAAAATTCATATTGGACCAAAATGAAATGAATGAAAGCAATGCAAATCCTACATTTGTACATTTATCTTACATCTTACATAAAATTCATACTGGAGAGAAACCCTGTCCATGCAAAGAATGTGGAAAGCTTTATTTTTCATAGTTCCTTACAATTACAAGAGGAAATTAATTGTGGCAAAGAACCCTATGACTGTGAACAATGCCTATGGTGGTCAACTTCCTAAATTACATGGCAGAGCAGTTTCAATCGTGCTGTCACAGTTCCCAAGAGCAGCAGTGCTACATGACGTTTTTCCTGGGGAGACGTGAGCAAACATTTACTCACCTGAGATATGAAACTAATGACACAAACAAGCAATTCTACCAAAGTCTGATTACGTGAACCAAGGATTTTACTGGGGTTACCTCCAGGAACATGGACAAGCACAGACATCTGCATCACGAAAAATCCCAATCACTATAAGTGATGACTCGTGGAAGCTGCAATCTGAGATCTCTGCCCAATTGGGAGGCAGTTTGGTTAGTTGGGGAATAACTTTTCACACTTGTTTACTGCTTCTATAGCCTTGTGGAGTGGCCTTGGGAATTTTGTAAATTTCAATATTCCAGAACTTCTATTTAATTCTTGAGTATCATTCCTCACTTTAAGAAGGACTGCATCAAGTCAGAAAAAAATTCCTCAACACTCCACCCCTTCTTCTGACTCTTAACTCTTTTTGTAATGGTTTTTGATCCTTGTGGGCAAAGGGTGTGGATACAGATTTCCTCTCTAGCTAACATTAGGCCACTGTACCTGTGCAATATTCATTTTTCCCAGGATCTTCATTGATTCTGAGTCTTTGTGGTATACCATCCATTGTGAAAGGACGATTCCTTCCATGATGGATTGCCACTGACGGTAGTATTGACCTCTTAAACATAAAATGAAATATTCATAAGGGAATTTGAGAAGCACATCACATCCATCTAAAAGAACAATAGCAATTGCTTCCCAACTGGAGTCTATGACCTCACCGGCCACGAGTTTTGTTTTTGTCTTATAATATCAGGCACAAATTTCCTATTGTGGAGTGGGCTGTAAATCCAACCTGAAAGCTGTTTGTTGGACCCAAACAGTAGTTGTGCCACTGTACCACCAGGAGGCATATTCTGACTGTCCTGTTGGTATTGGTCACACAGGGTTGATGATTGAGCAGGACTCTTGGTGACAATTGTCCCTCAGCAATCTGCATCACCAGGTACCATGCAAGCCAGCTAGAATGGAGGTAGTGTCCACCTTATTCCAGCATCATTTCTCCATAGTCTGCAACCTGAGCATGTGATGTCTTCAGCAATAGTGACCTACCATCTTGTTTCAGCATGTAACCAACAGTAGTGGCAATAGCCTTCATGGTTTGTGGAGGGCTTCATGGTTTGTGGGGGAGATATTCACCTGCCACTGACATCCAAGTGCTGGTGTTTAATGTTTCTGACAACACATCGCGATACGAATAACCTGTTAAAACACCAATATGAATAACCCGTTAAAACACCTACTCCCAATAGGTTTCTGGGGTAGAACTGATTGCAGCTGATTGCCTTTAGTTGAGGTCTGTGGATCAGTGTTTGTGAAATGAAGAGCCTTGTCATGGTCAATTACATGACACTGAGTTGGGGGAAAGCCTTGTTGGTGGCTTTTCCTGTTACTTGCCTGGAAATGGTGTAAGAGGCCTGTACCAGTGTCCACGTGTAGGAGGGTATATTTGCACATGTCACTGGTTGGCATAGATTGTATATGGTGTGTTTGCCAGTACTTGAGGGAGAAATTGGCTTACATATGTGACCTGCCAAAACATATAGAACAGGCAAAACTTGTTTGGCACCTCAATAAAGATGTCTGAAGAAAAAGCAGCATTTCCTGCCTTCATGTGTTTTCTCTCTGAAGAGTGTGTCTACTCCTGTGGCTGCTGCTGTAGCTGCTACAATCCTCCAGTAACAGACAGCATCTGCATTATCCTTCCAACATGGACTAAAGAGCTACAACTCTAGGAATTTTTCAGATCTCTGCCAGAACGGTCCTGCTGAGATGTCCAGTTGTGTGGACTGTGCAGCCTCTGCATTGTCCTCTCTATCCTATACATAGACACTGCTGGACTATCAACTGCAAGGTGAGCTCATCTACTGACCATCATAGGTGAAGTGATTGATTTTCTTTCAATGTTGAGACTTTGTTCTCTTTCTTAATAATTATCCCATTTTCTAAATGGATTCATTGGAAATCCATTTTTTTCCATCATTGGGAAACCTGGAGCCCAAGATCTGTTATTTTTAGCTTTAGTCCCCGAAATTCCAGATATAATGAAAATCTTTTCCCTTATATGCAATGAAAGGATAAGGTCTGGCACTGAGAGGTGTTCCCTGAAAGGTCCAACTAGACTTTACAAGTGAATAGCCAGAATGTGTCCTAGTTTCAAACAAGACTAGGTGGAAAATATCACACTATGCATAGAAAATTTAGTCATGTATCAACTCCCCTTCAGATTAAACTGTAAACTGTATGTATTGACATAGGCTAAATTGTGCTTATTGGCAGATATTACATCTTGGAGTATTTTGTAACATATAAAAAAATCCGTTGAAGGCCAGCTGAGGTGGCCCAAAACTTTAATCCCAGAACTTGGGAGGTGGAGGCAGGAGGATCTCTGAGAGTTCAAGACCATCCTGGTCTATGCAGGTCAGCTGAGGCCTACAGGGAGAACCTAACTCAAAAATAAAAAAGAAAAGAAAGAAAAAAGTAGCATTTTTTCATTGGAGGACCTCTAGGATCTCTCTCTGACCAACAACTCATAGGGGGGCAACCCACCCCTGATCCTGTAGATTTTCTTAACAGTTGTACAGTTTTGGGAGCCTCTGTTTTTATCTTACCCAACCATAAAACTGCCAAGAATCTTACAGCTATAGCTTGCCTTTATTTCTTCAGATATCTTTCAAATGGGTTTCACATCTGTAAAAAACTCAAAGGTTAACATCATATATTCAATCAATCATAGACAAGGTCTAGCACAGCATGGAAAGTTTTTATCCATTCATAATTGTTCTCTCCATAGATCTTTGTTAGGTACTGTAGCATTGGTAAGAAGTATTAATTTGGTTAGTTCTTTAGTATCTTTAGTTATCCCTTTGGGGTCATTCTGCATTCTTAGGATCTTAAATGAAGCCTCTGTATTCTTTAATCCTGCATCCACTTAAAGGGGCTGGCTCCAGTTGCCTGACCTGGACTGGGCTAAGGAGGCAGAGGATGGCTCTTGTCCCCACTGCACCTGTTGGTTCCATGAGTCAGGCAGTCCCTGGGTTTGTTTCCTGGCTGTAGCCATACCTGCCATCTCTCCACTGACCGTACCTGGCTGCTGGGGGAGGCCCTGGTGGGAAAAACTGCCTCTCCCCCTATCATAGCCTTTCTCAGGAGAGAGATGTACCTTATTTAATCTTTGGGAATTCTTAATCACCCCTGGGACAGTTTTTATCCTCTGACTGCCTTTTGTAAATGGTTCTTCAGGTTTTAAAGGATTCCAGAACTCCTTAGTACTGAATTTGGTTTTCTATCAATTTTTTCTTTGGGAATTTGGGCTCAACATAAATCTTGCTACATTTGTCTTTGAGTAAGCCAGATGGACGATTTCTTCTGTCTGCTGTTTTTTATATCTTTTGTTTGTTGTTCTGTTATTCTACAGACACAATTTACATGATTGTTTGAGTCACTTAGGTGTGCTAAATCCTCTCTCACTTTACAAAGATTCTGTCCCATTAAAGGACTTAGCAAAACCATTAAAGCTCTATACCATTTTTGAGATCTCAGTTGAATTAAGCTTTCCTTTATATCTCAGGTGAACCTAGCACTATCTGGCCCAATGAACTTGGCATTATATATTGCTTTTTTCATACCTTTTCCTCTCAGTAATGCCTGTCCCTCTTTTATAGTTCCCCAGCCCCTGTCAATCACAGGAGTCTCCTTTGGTGATGACCATGTATCTTTAATACTTTGCACAAGCTATTTCATTAGGGACTTCTCCTTCCTGTACTGGCCTAGGCTAAACAGCCTATGTCACAAGGATGGATGGGTGGTTGTATAACTCATCTGTAAAGTTCTGAAGGATTTAGAATGACGTTATTTGTTCCCATGTCCCATACCCTCACGAGTCACATGGTGAGGGGCTCTTTGATTGCTTGCTTGAAAGTCTCTTCTAGTTTCAACAGCTCCAGTGTGGAGTGCTTTATCCTAGCTACAGTACTGTTAATCCTTTTTCCTTTTTGTATCAAATGTAGGTCAATCTGAGGGTCAGATTTAGCTACTATTAGTTTTAGGTTGTTTCTTTTCTCATTTCGATCTGTCTTTTTCTTGGGTACTTTGACTCCTGGTCCTCTAACTTTACACAACTTAACATCCTCCATTTTTTCTCTCTCTCAGCTCTGAGTCTAAGATTGAATTTTCCAGTAACTCCTTAGACTTTTCAGCCTCCCCTGATGCTGCCTCTATATCAGGCAAATCTTTTATCATGTAAAGTGGCCCCCTCTCTGGATTCCCGTCCTTTCCAAGGCTTCTATAATTTTTAAGGCTCTCTATGATCTTTAAACAATTTTCACATAGAAACGACTAAACTATTTCCCCATATTTACAGGACAGCTGTGACCCAGGGATTGTTCCCGTTTCAGTCGATCCGCATCTGTGTTGCCAGGGTCATTCTAGTTACATGTTCTATGATCCCTTGTGTGACCCATATGAGCACCACTGCTAACCCCCTTGCTTTTCCCGGATTCGTGCCTCTTCTTGTTTCCAGCGTCATCCTTCAAGACTGCT